TGGGTGGGGGCCAGTCCAGACAGAAGACTGAGGTCCACATGTTCTTGACCCTGCTTGGTTCTTTGGCACCTCTGCCTGAGATATAAACTGTCTGACATGGAAGTACAACTCCAGAGAAGGGGGTGGGGAACCTAAGTTAAATAATATTTTGTTTTTGTTTTTTCACTTGGCAGAATGGGGGCTGAAGTTGAAGTTAGGTTTGGTTACTAAACAATAAAGAAAGCAACATTTCTTGCACACCCGACTGTGTGGTCTGAGTTTGCTGCTGCCTATAAACCGAGAAAAAGTTGTAAAATGAAGTACTAATCTCTAGGGTTTAGGTCAGACCAAGGAGTAGTGCCACTCAGCCAGAAGCTGGCTCATGGCTGGCCAGTGCGGAGGTGGTGGCAGGAGCCTCTCCCACCTCCATGGCAGCACTAAGAATGTCTAACCAGCAGTTTAGGCCCGATCCCTTGGGGGCCTAAGCCTTTAGTCGGACATCCCCCGAGGGCTCCCTGGCTACCAGAAGGATGTCTGACTGCAAGCTTAAGCCTGATCCCCCGGGGAGTGGGCCTAAGTCAACAGGTGGACATCCCCCAAGGGGTCCTGGACTGCAAATGGGCGAAGGCCGGGCTGAGGGACGCACCCCCCCCCACCGAGTGCACAAATTTTGTGCACTGGGCCTCTAGTCTATAATAATAAAAGTGTAATATGCTAATTAGACCAGACAACCAAACGACCTTCTGGATGTCCTTCTGCGGCTGCTAGGGCTGAGCCCCTTGCATGAATTTCGTGCACTGGGCCTCTAGTTATAAATAAAGCCATGGGTCAGTGTGTGAAGTAAAGCAAGCAAAGTCCGCTGACAGGCAGGTGTGGGCGAAGGGACCATCAGCATCCACCACAGGCACTTTGATGTTTGGTCACCTGAGCCACCTAGGGCCCATGGGATTTGTGGTGAGATCTCCCACTTCAGCCACCAAACTCTTTCCCGAGATACTTATGCCTAATTTTAGAATGTTCACACAGCTAAGGAGGCACCTGCTCCTGCAGCGCACACCACTCACACCTGCTCTGCACAGCGCAGCCTCTGCGCACAGCAACGCAGTCGTGACCCGCCAAGGACACGCTTCAGGATATAAAACATGCTTTTAATAATCTAAGAAGAAAAATATATTCCAAAATAATTGTGTCACAATATTCCAATATTGAGGTCAGTCATGGCATGAAGTAAGGAAACCAGGAAATGGTGATTCTCATCCAAGCGCCGCTGTGCTGACACCCTGGTTGCAGCCCGTGAGAGCAGAATGGAGCCGAGGACCAGCTCAGACCACTGTCCTGCGCGATGTCACACCGACGAACGCGTGAACCAGTGATCGGCTTTTAATGCAATTTCCTATCTCCTTACCCCGATTTACCTCGCAACCTTTATGGTGACAACATAAGCTTGTCTTTCTTTACAGGCTGGGAAAACACAGAAAACCCACAAAGCTCATGATAGACTATTTCACAATGACCTAACAGCTAACACTGAAAATTTGTATTATATTTTAGAAAAAGTATAATTGTGTTTATGTGCACTATTTCATGAATAAGTTACAACAAGCAATTAAAAAAAAACTTGACATTTTCATGGATGTAAGAAGTTTCAAATTAGGACACTATGATTAATGAACCGTGATAATTCTCTTAATAGTCTATGCAACTTAGATATATAACATTTTTTCTTATAAACACTTCAACCAACTTCTCAATAACACATTTTACAGTTATGAAAGTTAATTTTTTGAATACTTTCTTTCACTGATTATGGATAGAGATATACTAATATTTAATAATCTTTCAGCTTTTCTTTTAAAAAAGAAACAGCGCAAAATAAGTCACTGAGAACTTTTCTTGCAAAGACAAAAATGATTATTTGTCATAAGAATTTAATAAGATTTAGAAGAAAAAATATATATTTCCTTAAACCATTTTTTTCTGAATTCAAACCAGTTTATAGAGATTATAAAAAATAGAGTCTATGTACATGGCACAGTGTGCCTCAGTGACACACAAAACAAGGTAACAACGAAGCATGACACACCTGCCTCCTGGACACAGCCCAGCACAACACCGCAGTGACTGCGTCCTACTGTACACAGTGATAACTGCTGAAATGCTACAGGAAGTCAGACATACAAAAGTTAACAGTAACATTGGCCAAATATGATCAAAACGTCCACGTTATATAAAACGATAAGCGAAGAACATGAAGTATAAAAATAGCACTGGTGTGTGGGGAAGGCGCCTTCCGAGCACGCAGGGTGGCAGATGCCCAGGGAGCTCCCTGACCAGCGTGGCCTACGTCACCACATGGGGTCTCGTCCCGTCTTCTGTGAGGTCATACCTGAGGGCACAGGAAGCGACAGACAGGTCAGGGTGGCGGCCTTAGTCAGTCAGTCTATCAGTTGTGGCTTGTGAAAGGACACTCACCACTGGGTCCAGCCTTTGGCGAGCTCTTCAGACGCCAGAGCAACCAACACCTGTGGGTAAGGGAGTGTGTCAGAGGTGGGGGCGTTCCCTCGGACCCGCACCTCTGCCCTCGCCCATCTCCCTGTCTCATCAGCACAGTGTGCTCCTTTAGTGTGAGTCTCTCACCTTCCAGTGTGCTTCACCCCAGGATGGTGGGTCCTACCCAAGGGTCTGCCTTATCCACCGTCTAACATTAGGTTATAGGAAACCTCAGGGGAGAGCCTTTGCGGGGACAGTGAAGGCACTAAAGTTGATGTGCACTGGCCACAAATGGCACCTACAATTCAAAACTTCTCTTCCCTAACTTATTTCTGTGTACATTATTAAAGAATGTACATTCTTATGCAACAATTACATGTGGATATGGACAAAGACTAAAAGAAATTCAAAGGGCGCTAGCCAGTTTGACTCAGCGGATAGCACGTCGGCCTGTGGACTAAAGGGTCCCGGATTCGATTCCGGTCAAGGGCACGTGCCTCGGTTGCAGGGTCCTTCTCGGCCCGGGCCCTGGTTGGGGCATGTGCAGGAGGCAACCAATCGATGTGTTTCTCTCATATCGATATTTCTGTCTTTCCCTCTCTCTCCCACTCTCTCTAAAAATCAATGGAAAAATATCCTCAGGTGAGGATTAAAAAAAAAATTCAAAGAAATAAAGCCAATTATTTGTTAGGAAAAACCACAGCTGGTTAGTCAGGAGGTAGAACTGGAAGAGAATGTGTTCCCTTTGGGTTTGCTTTCACTGTGATACTTGAAAAAATATTTTTAAAATAACCTTTTCTTCAACTATAAGTTCATGGTATTACTATGACTAATAAGCCAATAACATGAATGAGTAAAAACAACAGAATCAGTTAAAATGTCTTCACAATGTACTGACATCTTAGCTGATGCAGTCCTCCTGGTCTACTATCAGCCGCAGAGCACGCTGACCCCGCCTACCTATGTACTATGGTCTACCAGACGCAGGGGTAGGGGCTGAAGTCTCACAGGGGTCTGCTCAGACTTACTTTGCCAAGAAGCCCTTTGTCTTTGGACAGGAAGCCGCCACTGTTCTTCACGGCGACGTCCAGCGTTCTCCGCTGCACTTCCGGTAGCGAGACGCTGAACTCAAAGCTGACAGAGAAAGAGGCCCTTCCCTCAATTTCTCCATCATCTTGCTGCAGTTTCCCGTAACTGAGCATGACACTCCTGCCTACAAGACCACTCCAAATGTCACATTTCTTATTATAAAACAGGGTTCTCGTGCTAGATGTTTGGGGCCCGCATTTCATAAAAACACAAAATCAAAGTATTCTCCAGGGTTTAGAACATAAGAGAAGATTCTGGCCTGCAGCTCCCACGCACAAGGTGGGCAGCTAGGATGTGGGATCACAGATGTTATATTCGACTCAACAGCTAAGGCCAGGCTCCCTCTCCCTAAAGACTAAAGAAGAGCAACTTCTAAGCCTCGTGAGAGGCTGAAGGCAGAGGCCGCAAACTAAAATGCCTTCAGGGAGGCAGGTCCTCGAAGCGGTGTGTGTGGTTCGCATGAGGCAGGGTCTCTGGCAAGGACGTAGCCGGGACGTGGCCGGTGCTGCCACAGAGCCACGGCAGCTAGAGACCCAAAGGTGCACGGGGATTTCAAATTCTTTGCTGCCGCAGAGTAAGAACACTGACAAATACAAGGTGCCCACATCAGGATTTGGTGTGTTCCTGTCAGTAAAAATATGATGTGTCTAGTACAGTGGTTGGCAAACTGCGGCTTGGCAAACCGCGCTCGCGAGCCACATGCGGCTCTTTGGCCCCTTGAGTGTGGCTCTTCCACAAAATACCAACTTCTGCGCATGGGCCACGAAGTTTCAATCGCACTGTACGTGCGTGCCCGCATGTGGTATTTTGTGGAAGAGCCACACTCAAGGGGCCAAAGAGACACATGTGGCTCGCGAGCCACAGTTTGCTGACCACGGGTCTAGTACCTTTAAAGGGGAAGTGTAAACTGAATTAGCAGACATCAATACCATGCAATCTTATTTCCCCAAACACTGGTGGTTTGAGCTACAGGACTGTTGAGTAAGACACCAAACGTGCAGATGGAGACTCTTTAAGTGCCTGAGCACCGCTCAGGAGCGGCCATGTCAGACTGACCACAGAAGCAGATATGAACCTCTGTTAAGCCAGACCATGAAAGAGATTTGCAAATCTGAAACAATTATGCCATTCTTTTCACTTTTAAAATTGTTTTGGAAACTGGTTGTTTTCATAAGAATGTTACATTTTAAGATGTTATAGAGATTTATTATTTTGAGAAATATATGCATTTTAATATTCTCGGCTTTGATGTATAACTCAGTTCTTTATCTAATCACTCGTCTCGCCATCCATGTTCACAACTTGTCACTTCTGCATGAAATTCAGAGTACTCATGCCTACTAATCTGAGTTTCCACTTCTCAGTGATAGGTGGGCGCCAATGCTTTGTCACTGGGAGGCCCTCCTAGCTTACCCAACACCTGCCCCAGGTGAGTGAAGTCCATACCTCTGATCAAACACGGGGTTCAGTGTTTTCTTTGACACGTGTGTTTTTCTCCTCCCTGACCTCCTCTTGTCTGGCAACAAATACATGCGGACGTAGGGGTCAGAGCCGTCTTCAGAGAAGGCAATGAGGTTTCTTGTAAAACAAACCAAAGAACAGCAGGCATTATACTCTAGGAAGATGACAATCAGCATCACATCATACTTTCTACAGCAGGTCCTCGAGGACTGTTGTTCTGTTAAGTTCCCAAGAAAAAAATTCCCTCAGTAGAACTGTGTGGAGCTTGCACTGTGTCTTATAAGTTTTCTACGGGGACTCTGGTTTCCTCCAATATCCCAAAGATGTGCACAAGAGGTGAGTGGCCTAACATGTCTGAGTGAGACAGGTGCAGGCGTGAGTGGCCTGTCTAACGTGTCTGAGTGAGACAGGTGCAGGCGGGAGTGGCCTCTCTAACGTGTCTGAGTGAGACAGGGGCAGGCGTGAGGGGCCTCTAATGTGTCTGAGTGAGACAGGTGCAGGCGTGAGAGGCCTCTAACGTGTCTGAGTGAGACAGGTGCAGGCGGGAGTGGCCTCTCTAACGTGTCTGAGTGAGACAGGGGCAGGCGTGAGGGGCCTCTAATGTGTCTGAGTGAGACAGGTGCAGGCGTGAGAGGCCTCTAACGTGTCTGAGTGAGACAGGTGCAGGCGGGAGTGGCCTCTCTAACGTGTCTGAGTGAGACAGGGGCAGGCGTGAGGGGCCTCTAATGTGTCTGAGTGAGACAGGTGCAGGCGTGAGAGGCCTCTAACGTGTCTGAGTGAGACAGGTGCAGGCGGGAGTGGCCTCTCTAACGTGTCTGAGTGAGACAGGGGCAGGCGTGAGGGGCCTCTAATGTGTCTGAGTGAGACAGGTGCAGGCGTGAGAGGCCTCTAACGTGTCTGAGTGAGACAGGTGCAGGCGGGAGTGGCCTCTCTAACGTGTCTGAGTGAGACAGGGGCAGGCGTGAGGGGCCTCTAATGTGTCTGAGTGAGACAGGTGCAGGCGTGAGAGGCCTCTAACGTGTCTGAGTGAGACAGGTGCAGGCGGGAGTGGCCTCTCTAACGTGTCTGAGTGAGACAGGGGCAGGCGTGAGGGGCCTCTAATGTGTCTGAGTGAGACAGGTGCAGGCGTGAGAGGCCTCTAACGTGTCTGAGTGAGACAGGTGCAGGCGGGAGTGGCCTCTCTAACGTGTCTGAGTGAGACAGGGGCAGGCGTGAGGGGCCTCTAATGTGTCTGAGTGAGACAGGTGCAGGCGTGAGAGGCCTCTAACGTGTCTGAGTGAGACAGGTGCAGGCGGGAGTGGCCTCTCTAACGTGTCTGAGTGAGACAGGGGCAGGCGTGAGGGGCCTCTAATGTGTCTGAGTGAGACAGGTGCAGGCGTGAGAGGCCTCTAACGTGTCTGAGTGAGACAGGTGCAGGCGGGAGTGGCCTCTCTAACGTGTCTGAGTGAGACAGGGGCAGGCGTGAGGGGCCTCTAATGTGTCTGAGTGAGACAGGTGCAGGCGTGAGAGGCCTCTAACGTGTCTGAGTGAGACAGGTGCAGGCGGGAGTGGCCTCTCTAACGTGTCTGAGTGAGACAGGGGCAGGCGTGAGGGGCCTCTAATGTGTCTGAGTGAGACAGGTGCAGGCGTGAGAGGCCTCTAACGTGTCTGAGTGAGACAGGTGCAGGCGGGAGTGGCCTCTCTAACGTGTCTGAGTGAGACAGGGGCAGGCGTGAGGGGCCTCTAATGTGTCTGAGTGAGACAGGTGCAGGCGTGAGAGGCCTCTAACGTGTCTGAGTGAGACAGGTGCAGGCGGGAGTGGCCTCTCTAACGTGTCTGAGTGAGACAGGGGCAGGTGTGAGTGGCCTCTAACGTGTCTGAGTGAGACAGGTGCAGGGACTGGGCTGGCGTCCTCTAACCCAGCTCCTGTGCTGTGTTTCCCAGTGGTGATCTCGGTAGGAGAACATAGAAGGTGCTGAACACATATGCACTGAGCTGAACTCCACAGCGATACAGTCATGTTCCTAATGTCACTAATTTTATTTTTCTGTTTCTAACAGCTTTTTAAGAATCAAATATTTATATAAACACACTTATATCACAACTACTACAGAGACAGGCAAGTCACATAAGAGAGAAATAGCTCCTGACCACCATCATTAATCACACTGTCACCTCACGTCACACCGCTTCCTGACGGGGGAAAGGCAAGCCAAGCCCCTCGGTGCCCAGGTCTTCTGGAAAGACTACGGCAGAACTGACCATGACCCATCAATTGCGAGGTCCTCTGAATTTATAAGTTTACTCCTGGAAGTGTAACCCTCAAAGAACACTTCAATAAAAGAAAATACATTCATTATTGAGTGTACTCATTATTTAGACCATCTAAACACCCACAGCAGGGAGTAGCAACGTACCCACAGTTCCAGGATGTGTTGCCAAGCAACCCAGGGGTTATGAATGTTTAGGAAGCAATACTGAGAAGGAAGAAGGAATAAACACTGGGCACAGGAGATCCAACTGCGAGCACTGGGAGGCCCCGGAGGGAGGCCCCCAAGGGAGCGCCGCTCACCTGCAGGCGTGCACGACCACCACCAGCTTGTTCCTCTGCGAGCTGTGCCGGATTGTCAGCTGAATCTGCCCCAGGGGAGACTGTCCCAGCGTCGTCCCACTGAGGAAACAAAGCGGGAAGTCACAGCTCTGCCCGGACCTTATACTCCCCGAGTCACCGCTCCGACTCGGTAGGAAAGCCAAGCTCACTCATGCAGACTAGAGGACACAACCGAACCTGAGGACAAATCAACCAGTCAAATCCTACTCAGCTGCGGTTAACATAACTTAATAATTCAAAACTGAGAGCTTTTTCATTTAAGGTCCAAACTAAAAGGAGACATGGTCTTCTCCTAATTACAAACCCCGATGCTGTGGTCTTTGGGCCTGTCACTGCCCACATCTACGCATCCTTTCTCAGAACCCCATAATCCTGGCTCTGATGTTCACCGACAGGGCATCGGTGACATCACAACACCCCCCTCAATTTCTGCTTCTCAAGGTCAAAGCACAGATTCTAAGGTAACCAATGACTGCCTGGCTCAGGGTCCCCCAAGACCAGCTACAGTGAAAAAATGGTTTCTTATTTAAAACTTTATTTCCTTTTAGAGCAAGAGAAGGGAAGGGACTGATTTCTTTTTTCAAAAATAGTGGAGGTGAGAAGGTGCGAAGGAGACCAGTGCACTGAGTATGTCACAGAAGGTCACACATATGCCTGCGTCCCGACACCAAGAACACATGCTTCACTTCAAAGGCAACTTCCTGCCTTCCGCCGAGGGGACAAGACTAACATCTGAAGCTTGTGGTGCCTGCAGACTGTTTTTCCTCCTTATCTAGGAATCATGGGGCTTAAGTAAGAAATCAAAAGCGACGGGGACCAGCAGTGGGTGCTGAGCAAACTGGAACGAATAGAGCCTGCTCCCACCATCGGGCAGCTCAGCTCTGGACCCGCCTTCCTGCCCTGAGGGCAGCAGCACTAGAGCCTCTGCAGTTCAGGGGACCCGCTACCCCATCACCATCTAACCCTTAATGAGCCGAAGGGAGGCCTGGAAAACGGCAGGCTTCCCTTTGAAAGGGTGCCGCCCCTGAGCCCCTTAGCTGCTGAGACAGCCTCACAGCACATGGGCGTGCGCGGCCTGGGCGAGAGCAAGAGAGCATCTCCTTACTTCTCAAGCTGCCGCAGCCTCTGCCGAAGCTCCTGCGTGGCGATGGGCAGCGATATGTCCGAGGCTATGCTGGGGGTGGGCTCCTTGATGAAGATGTGGCTGGGGGAGCCGGTTGTGCCGCCATGGAGGCTAGAGGCGCTTCTGCCCAGGTCTCGAGGCCCCTGAGGGCTGGTCTCCGCAGGCTGAGCTCTGTCCTCCACGCTGGACTTCGCACCGCCTCCAAGGACTGGAGTGGACGGGGCTGGGCTGCTGTCCCCAGCGCCTGGTGACATGGACACCTGAGACCTGACAGATACTTTTCTCCCTCCTTTGGAAACTGAGGGTCGCTTTACTTGAGCTGAGTGCTGGTGGTCTGGAGACCTGTCTTGCTTTTCGAGGTGGAGTACCTAGAGGTGGAAATAAACAAGTTAAAATCAGTGACACAGGTAATAGCCTGATACATGAACGCTTTAGATCTATTCACTTGCCAATTCATTTAAAACTTAGCATAAAACAATACGGACAATCTGGTCTACTTGTTCACCTGTTCTGTTATTAAAGTAATACGATGTTACAGAAAGCTTTAAAAAACAAAGTTTAAGTGGTCAAAGTATCACTTCTATGATGTACACATCATTTCTGTGTATTCTCTTCAGCCTCTTCCATTTGCACAAATTTCTGCACAGTTGTGGGTGATGTTATCACTGGAAGAGCCTGAGTTGCTGCCCTGCACCGCCTGATCCCTCATCCTACCCCGGTGGGCTGGTGCCTCGTCCTACCCAGGTGGGCTGGTCCCTCGTCCTACCCCGGTGGAATAGTCTCGCCTCCATCAGCAACCCTGGGGAAGGATGAGAGTCACGACACCTCTACCCAGCAAAATTACCCCAAATTCCTAGCATCGATGGGGGAGCAGCCCATGCCCTCATTCACTTTGCTAGTTTTTAATATTTACTTTTTTTTTTTAATCCTCACCCGAGGATATTTTTCCATGGATTTGTAGAGAGCGTGGAAGAGAGAGGGAAAGACAGAGAGAAACACCGATGTGAGAGAAACAAATCAATTGGTTGCCTCTTGCACGAGTCCTGACCACGGCCTAGGCCAGGGAGGACTCTGCAACTGAGGTATGTGCCCTTGACCAGAATCGAACCCGGGACCTTTAGGTCCACAGGTGGACATTCTATCCACTGAGCCAAACTGGGCTTAATATTTACTTTTAACATACACAACAGTCCACTGAGCAGAGTGAGACTCCATGCACTCCTGCATTCTGCGGTCACTGTGATGGCTAGAAGTTTTTTCCTGCTTTGACAAAGTAAAGCTGCAGCAGCCACCTTCATATTCATGGTCTCCCACACTGTGCATTTTAACTGAAAGTCCGATTTCCAGGCTCCTGCATTCTGCGGGCACTGTGATGGCGAGAAGTTTTTTCCTGCTTTTACAAAGTAAAGCTGCAGCAGCCAGCTTCATATTCATGGTCTCCCCACACTGTGCATTTTAACTGAAAGTCCGATTTCCAGGGGCTCTGGCCCCAGGGCTCTGTGACTACGGCCTGGAGACACTGTCAGGAGAGGCTGTGCCCACCAGGTCCTGACTGGGACCACGGAGCACATTCCACAGCACCCCACACACCAAGTTTGTCTTAATTCCTTAAACAGGTGGTTCTCCATTTTAATTTGCATTTTTAAAATTAGTGAGTTTCAGCATTCTCTCATGTTTGCCAGTTTATTTTTAATATTTCCTTAGGTGCTTACAAATGAATTATTATCTTTTTGGACAAAAAATTTGGGGTAATTTCTACCATCTTGTAGAATTTTATTAAATTCTCTTCTGAATGACTATTGAAGATTTAATCTTAGCAGAAAACTCTGCTGACCCCGATAGCATACTTTCTGGGCCAAAGTCTAAAACGCGGTCAACTGCACCCACCTGCAGGCGAACGGACCCCTGGGCTGCTCAAGCCACCAGGACACTCTGCTTCTGTTGGAAGTCGAGTCCAGGCCTCCATCATCTCCCTGAGTTCCCACATGGGCAGTGTTATCCATGCTCCCCTGTGCCATGTCCACGTCCACCTTGTCCTGAGCCCTGTGGCTGTCACCGTGATCACCGTCCACCTTGTCCTGAGCCCTGTGGCTGTCACCGTGATCACCGTCCACCTTGTCCTGAACCCTCTGGCTGTCACCGTGATCACCGTCCACCTTGTCCTGAACCCTGTGGCTGTCACCATGATCACCGTCCACCTTGTCCTGAGCCCCGTGGCTGTCACCGTGATCACCATCCACCTTGACCTGAGCCCCATGGCTGTCACCGTGATCACCGTCCACCTTGTCCTGAACCCTCTGGCTGTCACCGTGATCACCGTCCACCTTGTCCTGAGCCCCATGGCTGTCACCGTGTCTACCTTGTCCTGAGCCCTGTAGCTGTCACTGTGATTACCGTCCACCCTTGTCCTGAGCCCCGTGGCTTTCACCGTGTCCACCTTGTCCTAAGCCCTGTGGCTGTACTGTTCACTGTGGAACAGCACCTGAGAGCTTTGCCATGGTAGCCTGTGCCCGTGCACCCCGTGCTCCCCTGGGAGACTACAGTACCCTGAGGGCGACCTTCATCTTCAGAGTGCTGTTTGGACCTGAATTACTGAGCTGGAATCGCTGGTTCATGGTCATGTCATCGCTGGTGAGCAGACGACTGAGTGGGATCTTCAGGTTCCCCAGGCAACACTGATGTTGTTCATCTTTGACCTGGAAACACACCACAGAACACACTGAGCTCCACGGATAAAGACACAACGTAGAAAGGTCCAAATCCAGTCTTTAAAAACACACTTCAACCATCTCCTTCTAGGCAGTGTTTCCTTAAATAACAGAAAACCTCCTTGGGAAGACAGGGCACCTTGGAATGAGTGATGCTACACTGCATCTGCGTCACATGTGTCTGTCACTTCCTCATCACACATTTGTGAGCGAAAAAGGACACCATGGTTAGGAGTCCATTAGGAGAACCTCTAGTTAAGAGGCAGCAATCTGAACAAACCTGAAGAATAGAAAGAAACGTCTTAAACCCTGTGAAAATGATGACCATGCACATTTGTATAATGTGTCAAGTTTGACTGATGACACTTGTTTATGAAGAAAAATTTCTCGGTGTCTTTTAAGCCTTCTCTATTCAAAATCTACACATTTGTTTAGAACAGGGGTCCTCAAACTACGGCCCGCCGGCCACATGCAAATACAAATATTGTATTTGTTCCCGTTTTGTTTTTTTACTTCAAAATAAGATATGTGCAATGTGCATAGGAATTTGTTCATAGTTTTTTTTTTAAACTATAGTCCTACCCTCCTACGGTCTGAGGGACAGTGAACTGGCCCCCTGTTTAAAAAGTTTGAGGACCCCTGGTTTAGAAAATTTATAGTATCTCCTTTAAATGCAGGGCAACTCCTGCCTCCTGAGCGATACTCTGCGGCATGACCTCTGCAACAGGAATGGCTCCTGTTAGATGCTGTCACACAAAACAGTTCATAACCAAACAGAGGAAGAGCTTTCACAGGCTACATGAGACGGTCAAAGAAGTTATCTAAGATGAAAACCTAGATGCCTGATTGCTAATTTCTTTATAACCTGTAATCCAAAAGCTTTTTTATTTTTTAAATGTGTTTTTATTGATTTTTATAGAGAAAGGAAAAGGGGGATAGAGAAACATTGACTTGTTGCCTACTACATGCACCCCAACTGGGGATTGATCCCGTAACCTGGGCATGTGCCCTGACCAGGAATCTAACCGGTGACCTTTCGGTGTATGGGATGATGCCCAATCAACTGAACCACACTGGTCAAGGCTAAACGCATTTTTAAAAGAAATAACTGTGGCCTGGCTGGTGTGGCTCAGTGGTTGAGCGTTGAGCTATGAATCAGGAGGTCATGGTTTGATTCTTGGGGCAAATACCTAGGTTGCAGGCTCAATCCCTAGTAGGGGGCATGCAGGAGGCAGCCAATCAATGATTCTCTCTTATCATTGATGTTTCCACCTCTCTCTCCCTTCCTCTCTGAAATCAATAAAAATAGTTTTTAAAAAAGAAATAATTGTGATGTTGTTTACTGAACTTTAAAAGCTATTTTTTAAAATTCAAGATCCAGTAAATACAGATTGTTTTAAGCATGGTGCAACTTATGAAGGAAAAAGGAGCTAAACAAATACAAAAATTAGCTAGACAGATACATGTTGTATAAAAGGGAATGTGGCCCTAGCTGGTTTGGCTCAGTGGATGGACTGGAGGGTCCCGGGTTCGATTCCGGTCAAGGGCACATGCCTGGGTTGCGGGCTCGATCCCCAGTAAGGGGCGTGCAGGAGGCAGCCGATCCATGATTCTCTCTCATTACTAATGTTTCTCTCTCTCTCTCCGCCTCTTCCTTTCTCTCTGAAATCAATAAAAACATAACAAAAATAAATAAAACCTCTCCTCTATAAAAAAAAAGGGGGGGGGGAATTTGAAAACATAAAACACGCAGAGAACAATGAACACAGCAGTGACCAGGCACTCTGTGGGGGAGACGTGAGGCCCCCAGGGCAGGACATGACCCTCGGGCCTCAGGTCTCAGGGGCTGAGGAACCCATCAGAGCAGCACAAGAGAAAGAGCAAACAGAGGCCCTTAAACTTCTCAAAGCCTGAATGTTGGGAAGGAGGCCTTGCAAAAAGAAACATGGGAACCAGCATAGCTGAGTCTGGATATTTGTGCGCCCGCCCCTGGGATGACCGTGCAAGCTGAGTGACCCACTGTCCTTTATGCTAAGGTGAGGTGAGAGGAGGACGGACACAGCCCTGGGACTGCAGGCGGAATCCAAGGAGCACCCGCCAGCTCCTCCTGAGGATGTCATTTGCCTGGAGGTTATTTCTGCTTTGGCATGATGGAGCAACAGGAACCGATTTACCATCCCACCTCCGCTTAAAAACAAGTGAGGTGAGCCTGACAACTGACCTGGTCACTGCCTAGAGAGTCCAGGCCATGGTGCTGGGATGGGGATCCCACAGAGGCCAGCGGTCCCTCTGTGTTGAGAACACAGGGAGAAGCAGTCATAGAGCAGGAGGTGCCAGAGAGGGGGGAGCCCCAGAGAGCTGGAGGCCCCGAGGACCCCTGCATCTCAGCCAATGGGCACATGCGAGGGAGCAATCACAGGAGGACGCAAGCCCAGGAGGAGCAGAGGACAATCCCAGAGCACATGGGGCTGCAGAAAACCTGGTAACATGTGGGGCATCAGATTAGGGCCCCCAGATCCCAAGGCTAGAGGCTGTTGGGCTGCCTAATAAAGCTCCAAGTATTCCCAAGTACCTTCCCTCCAAATGAGAATAGAGCTCCAAAATATTTAAAGACACACTAACCCCGCACGCAAACATGTACAATTACCAGGCAACCAAAGAAGCAGTCATATCTGATCCACAGATCCAGCAACCACACAGACAATGGGATTGTGACATGCACAGAAGCTGTCACACCCAGGCTACACACACGCAGGAAGGCAGAGGAAAGACATGGAAAACTAAAGATCCAAACCCAGCTTCTAAGATGAACATCGGGAAGGCCAAAATACACAGGATGGGACTGACAGATGAGACATTTGAGGGGAAAAATGGGAGAAGGAATGTTCAGGCTCCTCATCAGAAACAATGTAAGAGGGAAGAAAGTGGAAGAAAAAAACAGGTAGCCAAAATGCTATATCTTGTGAAAATATGAAGGTGAAACAGACTTTCCAGACACACAAGAACTGGAAGAACCCATTGACTGGCCCTGCAGGAGCAGTGAAAGGGGCCTGGTAGAAGGGAGATTGCTTCTGCTGGAACAGAGTAAGAACCTGAGTGGTAAATATGTGGCTAAATAGGAAAAACTACTTTCTAGATTTCTAGAAAGCTCTTTAAAATATAATTGACTGTTTAAGGCAAAAATAATAAAATATATTCTGGGAGAGTGGAAACAGAAGCATGCCCTGGAAGGTTCTTGTACCTCTGGAGGCCAGTGTGCGGAACAGAGGGACCGGAACCCTAGAGCAATCACTAGTACACGCAACACCACGCACAGAGCTACAGCTGATAAACCAAAAAGGAGGTAAAGTGCAGTTATACAAAATGCTCACTCCCAAAGAAATCAGATTAAAAAAGCCAAAGATAACAAATGGGCAAATAGCATGGTAGCAGATTTAAATCCAACCACATCAACAATAACTGTATGCTGTCTATAAGACATCACCTTTAAATATAAATTACAAATAGGTTTAAAAAAGATGAAAAAAATAAGCATGTTAACTTCAATAAAAAGAAAGATGGGATAGCTATACTAATATCAAGCAGTCGATTACAGAGTAAAGAATATCATTTAATTGAACCATAAAGGAAATTTTTATAATGATAAAGGAATCAACTCGTTAGGTGGGCATTATAATTCTGCACAGACTCTTGGAAAAATAAAGAGGAGAGAAAACCTCCCAACTCTTTCTACAATCATCATCCTGATCCACAAGCTGGAGAAACAAAATTATAGATCAGTGTCCTTCTGGACTCAGGTGCAAAAATTCTTAACAAAATTTTAGCAAATTAAATAGAATCCATAAGAAGGATACAACGTGATGATGACCAAGTGAACTCATCCCCTAATAAAATTTTGCTTGTGAGGTTCCCTAATGTTAAATCTTGAAAACCAAATAAAGGTGTGCATTATTTAACGTCTGAAAGTCACCATATTTACAAACTTGGAAAAGCTAGATGACACCTCAGCAGTTGCAGAGAAGCCTCTGATAAAATTCCACGTTCACTATGACAAAACTCTCAGCAATCTAGTGGCAGGAGAGGGAAACGCCCTCAAACTTCAGGCTTCATGCTGAAGGTCTAAGGCTCCCCTGGACCCGAGGAGGCAGAGGGGGCTCCTCACACGGAGGCCCGAGGCCGGAAGGGCAAGGCAAGACAAGGGAGGCAGAGGCAGCGGGTTGGAAACACAGAAGCAGACGTGTCTTTCTTAGCAGACGACACGACTCCCTGTGTAGAAGGCAATCCTGAAGTATCCTCAAAAGCACTACGGAACTAATAAGTTCAGCACGGCTGACAATATGATGCCAACGTACAAAATCAACTGCATTTCTAGATACCAGTAACATTCAATCAACAGTCTAAAGTTAAAAAAAAAATTACTGATTATGGTGATGGATCCATAAATTATACACTTTAAATATGTGCAGTTCATTGCATGTTAATTATATTTCAATAAATCTTTTAAGAATGCAAATAAAATACCTCAACTTCAAGGTCCTGGCGCTTCGGATTGTGAATGAAGAAAGTGAAGTTTTCCTCCCACACAGGTTCATTGGTTTTGTACCGAATCTGAAAGAAATATCCCCCAATCAGCTCTTAGCTCTGTGGCTCCTTTCTGTGTTTATCAGTTTATGTGTTTGGAAGCTAGGGATGACTTTAATTAATTCCAAGACACATACTTACTGAGCACGTGCTGTTATGTATCAGTTGTGGAAAGTACTCAAAAGACAGTCCCGAGCTTTTAGAGTGTGCCGGGCAGCGCCCCAAAGCCCCAAGCCGTGTGCCCTCCCAGTGGCAAAGGCCTCCCTGTGTGGCTTGGCCCTCCTTGGGCTCCCGTGGGCTGCACAGCTCTGCATTCAGGAAGCTTCTCTAACTAACTGTGAGCAGGTGAGTGTGAACAAAGGCCTGTAACTTTAAACAGTTCCTGAAATGCTTCTCTCGCATCAGGAAAGTGGGACCTCCTGCAGCAACGGCGACGTCCTCTCAACAACTCCCGACAGAATTGCATTTGTTACATCTTAAACAAAATATTTATAGAACATTCAAAGAAAACTTTCACCTATCCATGAAATCAAGCAAAAGCATATTCATGATATTTTTAATGTTGTTTTTTAAAGTGAACAATATATTTGTTACCAAATTAAGTAGCTAGTAATCTATGAAATGACTGATTTGAGAAAAAAGAAAGATGGAAATTGGGGGTCTCAACATCTGCACCATCACCTGATGCAGGTCACCACCTGACAGGCGAGAGTGACAGTGACGTCACAGGAAGTGGTCGGCACACAAGGCCTTACCTTGCTCTCCTGGGCCTTGTGACCAACTGACATCTGCACCAGAGGGTTGGGGTTGCTGTTTATTTTCTTCCCAGACTATCCAAAAACAAAAAAGACAAAATCAGTAACAAATACCCTGAAAGAGGCTGTTGATCATGAAACGATTGGCTACACTAACAGTCATTGCTATTTGCTTCTGAGACTGCAGTTTACAGGGACTATCTGGGAGTAACTGGGAAAGAATCACTAAGCACAACCCAAACCATAACTGTATCCACCATAAAATATACCAGAAGTTCTATTTACATATACAAGAGTATATAATCCAGCCCGGCCAGTGTGGCTCAGTGGTTGAACGTTGACCTATGAATCTAGAGGCCACAGTTCGATTCCCAGTCAGGGCACCTGTCCAGGTTTCGGGCTTGATTCCCAGTGTGGGGCATGCAAGAGGAGGCAGCTGGTCAATGATTCTCTCTCATCATTGATGTTTCTATCTCTCTCCTCCTCTCTGAAATCAATAAAAATAGATATTTTTTAAAAAGAGTATATAGCCCTAGCCAGTTTAGCTCAGTGCATAGGGTGTTGGCCTGTGGACTGAAGGGTCCTGGGTTTGATTCTGGTCAAGGGCACAATGCCCAGGTTGCAAGCTTGATCCCCAGTGAGGGACATGCAGGAGGCAGCCTATCAATGATTCTCTCTCATCATTGATGTTTCTATCTCTCTCTCCCTCTTCCTTCCTCTCTGAAATCAACAAAAATATATATTTTTTAAAAAGAGTATATATGCAGAACAGTTCTCTAGTTGGAATAATAAAAATACTACAAAGTGTCAGAAACATGTTTTCACATTTTAAACTTAGTATCTTCTGTTCAAACATGTAGCTATCAGATATCAAGTCTCACTGGCCAGCGCCGAAGTCACTTTGACTGGAAGAATAAACAGCAATCTAGAATTGCATTAAATTAAGCAGTATGAATATAATTTTAAAAATTGTAGAAGCATATATTTTAGCTGATAGAAGAAGACATAGTAAAACACAACTATATGGGACATGAGGTTTATTTATAACTTAGTCTCACAGAAGATTCAATTAAATATCTGTTAGTGGAAATTAATTAGATCACAAAAATGCTTTTAGTTAAACAATTTTAAAGTCAACCCACAACACTGCAGCAAAGATAAAAATAAGCATCAAATTCATGATTATTGGAATAAAATATTACTAGCCCACACCTACTGCGATAATCTATTTTCTGGTTCATCTTTTTGATGTGAATGAATTCTGTAAAACGAAATAAATACTGTTAAACAATTCAAAAGCTACAGGCTACTGTGGCAGAGACACCGCTTGCCCCCTAAGTCCACTTTCCCTCTTCCCTGGACGATAGAACCCTGGCATGTGAGCTGGGCCCGGGCCTCTGCAAACAAAGCTTCTATTTCTGAACCTCCCTTGCAGTCAGGTGTGGCAGGTGCAGTCTGGCCTGAAAAGGGGAGGCATCTCCCGCCCCTTCCCAGGGACCCCCTTTTGGATGGAGGTAGCGAGCAGGCAGAGCCCCAGCCAGATTCTGGGATGCTGGAGGGAAGTTACCTCTGTCTTGCTGAAACTACAACTTCTCCTGAATCTGACTCAGAAGCTGAGTGTATTTAACTAATATACTTACTTCATCTTTGAAAAAGTAGCCATTCATTCCTAAAAACTTATATTTATAAGACTTTTTTTTTTAACTTTCTACTTTGAAAGCAACGAAACTCACAATTGCTGACTTTATGTGCCTGCTTTTGGGAAAATCGAGGTGCTGGGGGAATGGCTACTTCCTTGGCCCACTTAGCTTGCTTCCGTTTTCCTTCTGTGTGTGCATGTGTGTGACATGGTGGAAATCTGTGTATCCTAAGCCTAAAAAGTCTTTAATAAGTATGAAATAAACACTAACAAACCTTTACTGACATGTTTTCTTTCTTTGTGGTACGTAAAGTAATGATGTATCTTAAAATAAATGACATTTTAGATTCTAAATCACTAAGTTTTCTACTATGATTCCACATTCGGCACAACTCAGAGACACAGATATCATAAAGCTAAGTCACGACTTCCCTGAACTTATAGCTCAATTCCTTACCCCTTGATTAGTGAGACCCACAGTTCATCTAGTTGAACCCTGGTTCTCAGTTCTATAAAATGGGCATGATACCATTTCCAGAAGCTAGCTGTTAGGCGTAAATGAGGTGAAGTAATAACAATTAAAATGAACATATTGGACTAGCTGCATGGAATCCCTTCCATGCATGATCTCATTTAACGTACTCACTACTCCAGCAAAGAAGACACTGTCACTTCCGTCCTATAAATTATTAATTCATGCTGGACTCCAACCCAAGCCGTCTTCAGTTCTCAGCTTTGTTCCAACCATAACACAGAAATGGGAGGAAAGCCTGTTGATACACTCCTTACAGTGTTTTAGGGGCAGTATTTCAACTACTGCGAACAAGGTGCAGCAAGGACTTAATCAAAGCTACATCAAAGCAGGCTTTATCTGCCCTGGCCAGCCTGGCTCAGTGGATAGAGCATCGACCTGTGGACCGAAGGGTCCCAGGTTTGATTCCGGTCAAGGGCACGTACCTCGGTTGCAGGCTCCTCCCCAGCCTGGGCTCTGGTCAGGGCACGCATATAGGAGGCAACCAATCGATGTGTTTCTCTCATATCGGTATTTCTCTCTGTCTTTCCCTCTCTCTTCCACTCTCTCTAAAAATCAGTGGAAAAATACCCTCGGGTGAGGATCAAAAAACAAAACAAAACAGGCTTTATTAGTGTTTCCCACTTTTGAAATTTAACTTATCCTCCAGATGAAACTGATTTAAAAACATTCCTGATTCCTTTATATGGAATTTTCTTAAAATAATTACATTTAAACTCTCCCCTCAAATATTTAAGTCTAGAATGTTCAAAGAAATCAAAGAAAAAATAATAAAACATCGTAAGTCATAGAAAACTTTAACAATTTAGCCAGAAAATACATGTTCCTGGTGTTTTAGGGAGTGGAGCTCAGTTTTCAATATCCATCACTGAATGAAATGTAAAGCTTCCCCAAAGACCTGGCCCCGTGCCACAGCGCCGGAAGCTCTCAGGTCACCAGCGGAGCCGGCCTGACTCAGCATATTGGAAGAGGTGATGTGTAAACAGACAGCCACGGTGACAAGGGGCACCTGCCAACCAGGTCTGAAGACTGGGTAAGATTTCAGACAGAACTTCTAGTTCATCATTTTCACAAATTCAAATCCAACTGAAACAGGTCATTTAAAACCACCTTAGATATTGCTACCTAAGGTCAACAAGACAATGTCCAATTTATCATACTGGAACTTTATAAAATTTTTCTTCAGAGCTGACTTAAATTCTCTACTAATTCTTGGTCAACAAAAGTAGGCTCTCTCTAACGACCACTAATTACTAATTAGTAATACACCACGAGGGTTGAAGCATCATCTCTTTCAATACGTCTTCATGAACTTTCAAAGGGAAGCCATTTGTTTACCTTTAAAGCTTTCTGAACTGCAGTCTTCTTCAAGACACCGGGGTTAAACCCTAACGGGTTACTCTTTCCCGCAGAAGATGAACACACCAAGGGTTAATCAAACATGCAATGAGGAGATTATGTAAGGTTAACGACATGAAAACTTATGCAAACGAACAAAAAAAATCTTTAAACAAAAAACACCAGCAAGAATTACACAGAAACATTAAAAAAAAAACATTTGTAAAATTTTTCTGTATGCTCACGATTTTATCTTAGAAGGAACCTTGAATCTGTCAGCATCAAACCTATGTGCTTCTCCTCTGTGGTTACTACTCCTCTGAACTTCGGGATTGAAAAATCCAAGTGCTACTTTAAGAAAGGGTTCTATTTACTATCCTTTGCTTGAATGAACCCCTAAAATATCTATAATTAGGTTTTATCTAAATATCAACCAACGGGCCATAGATGCCCAGATTACTCTCAAGCCAAACTCTATCCTATCAGAGCAGCTGCCACATTTCTCCTTTCTCTGTGCCGGCCCACAGCAGAGATGGGCCTTCTCTGCTTCACCCCTCCTTCCTTCCCAAATATAAACTGGGAGGCAGCTTAGCTCATCAAGTTTCTCCTGGCTTTAAAGTTTTGATGTCCTGCTTTTATTAAATCTTAGTCTGTAAATTCATTACTTTCTGGCCCTCAAAAGGACAAGACTGAGCTGTTTTGCAAGCTCCTTCAAAGACTAACATGTAAGATTAAAAATTTAATCATTTTCACTGTAATTAACTTCAAATGACAAACTGAATTTTATTATTTTTTTATAAAGAGTAGATTTTATAATGAAGAAATGGGACTGTGGCAGGCTGGGCCGGGCAAGGAGGTCGAGCATCTGGCCAAGAGGAATGAATGGGACGTGAAAGCCAGCCTCGGCCGGGCGGCCAGCTGCTCAGCATTAGGGCGCTGGACCCACCAGGTGCATCTCTGGGGGGAGTCTGGACAGGTGAGGCTGGGAACCGCTGCCCTGAGGTGTGAGGGATGACAAGAACCTCTCTGAAGTTCTCTAGACAGTGGGCTGTGTACAAAATGTACACATCACTCTAACCTGCATCCATGTTGGCAAAGCGGGGCCAGAGGTGGGGGGTGGGGTAGGGGTGGGGGACAGTGGAGTAGTGTGAGGTCGTGGAAGCCGCACAGGCCTGGGGGTGACACAGGTCGGATCGTCCAGGTGCACTAGGCAGGGGCCCAGCATGAGGCCTCCAGACGTGACGGCACCTTCCACCTGGGCCACTCATCTTAAACGGGGCAGCACTGCCACCTGTGCCCGTTAGTGAGGAAGCACAAGCATCAAACCCCCCACCCCCACCCCCTGGCTCCACCTTATAGCTGGCCTTTTCCCAGGCAGTAGGCATGAGTGTGAACGCCATCTCAGGTAAACCCCACCCACAGCCGAGTGAGAGGCCTTCACACTAGGACGGAGTGTAGGGAGGGCACATGCCAGCTCAGCCCCCAGCTCTGCCACTCACCAGCCAGGACCCTGGCTCTCACCGCAGTCCCTCAGCTCCCTGCTGTCTCCTACCTGAGACTAAGGGAGCGGTGCACGTAGAACCCCTGGAAAGTGCTGTGCAGACACGAGTTATCAGAAGCCAAAGGTCTAGAGGGGACCCCCAGGAGTCAGAGGGCACCATGGCGTCCCTCTGAAATTGCAGCCCAGGACTTGACCAAAAGGAGGAGAGCAGAGTTCCAGTCAGCAATGGAAGGGCCATCTCGTCTGGACACAGTCCTGTTGCTCTAGAGTTTCCACAGGGGGTCACGAGTGGTAATCACTTACGCGTGGAAATTAAGAGTGTTCTGAGCAGGTAGAAGGTAGGACTGAGAAGGGCAGGCAGCTGAGGCCTTTCCTAGAAACAGGAAAGGGCTCAGGCATGAGGGAAATTGAGAAAACACAGATCCAACTTCATAGTGAAAACCAATGGGTCTAAAAATACAATCACTTTGTTCAAATTTAGTTCACAGAGCACCCTGTGAACGCCAACATTGGAATCACAAAGCAGAGCATGTGGTTGTGACAATGGAGGAGGAAAGCAGTGTTGATGACGGAGCAGGGTCACAGCAGAACCTGACAAAGCAACTAGAGCCCTGACGCAGGGCAGAACGTTTCCAGAATGAAAAGACGTAAGCACAGGCCGCTGGCGGAGGCGCCGCCATCACGCAGCCAGCCATGCAGCTGTCCTGGAGCACTGCCACAGAAAACTCCGTTACTCAAGAGTGGTGCAAAATAGATGCCATGAGCACCACCGTGGGTCACAGTGCAGGTGGAGGGGCGCATACTGTCGGGGTGCCTGAACCTCGCCCACCCCTTGAGGTCCTGACTTTCCTCCTCTATCACCTAGGACCGTGATGGCGAACCTATGACACGCGTGTCAGAGGTGACACGCGAACTCATTTTTTGGGTTGATTTTTCTTTGTTAAATGGCATTTAAATATATAAAATAAATATCAAAAATAAAAATCTTTGTTTTACTATGGTTGCAAATATCAAAAAATTTCTATATGTGACACGGCACCAGAGTTAAGTTAGGGTTTTTCAAAATGCTGACACGCCGAGCTCAAAAGGTTCGCCATCACTGACCTGGGACAATACACCTGTTCTTGACGTTCTGCCTGCCCCTCTTTTTCATGTGGAAACAGAAATGAGAACTCCTCACAGCTGCAAAGCCTGACCCCATCAGCCTCCAGGACCAATGACTCGAAGAGTCTCACCAGCTGTTGAGCTGCTAGTAAGTCAGTGATTAGCCAAGAAAGGGTGACCCTCTGGACTAATAACTAAGCCATGGGTGGCTTCCTTTTACCCCGAAGAAACTTAAATAAGTGTTTGCTAAAGGCACCAAGAACAGTGCCATGAATCAAGGTGCTACAGACAGACCCTGGGAAACAGATAGAACGAGATCAGCTTCCCAAGCAAGGTCAGACTCGCGCTGTCCGCTCCAGGAAATGCTTTCCATTCCTAAGAGGATCTGAGTCACACACGCAGTATCTGCCCTCCCTGAGGAACTGGTTCGCAGGAGGGAGAGAGCGTGCTTTCGGTACCGAGTGCACGTCTGTCTTCACTGACCACCCCAGGGCACAGAGGGACTCTAAGGAAAGCCAAGTTCTAAGGCTTCTGCTTGGTCAGGAGGAGAAAGCAGACTTGAGGGAGGTTTTTGAAAGCTTGCAAAGAAATATTTACATCTCACAGTGAGATGAACCACAAGAAAACCCAATGAATCGCTGTGGTTTCACTTTTTCCATGGAAGAGTTATTTTATTTTTTCCTGGGCTTCCTCATGACTCAGGTTTGTTCATCTCATCATCAGATGTAGTCACCAATGTTAGTCACAGCAGTGGCACATTTTACAAAACAAGCACCAAGCAAGCACACACAGTCACTGAAATCATGCAAGAAAAGTGAAACGCATGCCACGCCATTCCCCCACCGAGGAGACAGCACTAGGAGTTGCAGCCACATTCTCGCAGTCTCCACTAGCACACAAGGAAGACGACATGGGGAACTCACAAATAGTGCTCTATAGACTGAGGCAGTATTCTCACAGAACACTAGTCCCGACGCTCGCCTCTCTTTTAAGTGGCCACACCCAAAGCTTCCCTCGTAGATACTCTTAGGAAGTGGAAATGGGAGGAGAAAGCAAAGAATGGTGGGTTGTGATCAACACACACACAAGAAGCACCAGTAACAGGAGTGCAAAGGGCAGTCACAGAGCCACGGGACGGGGAGCGCCGGCCACGCTTCGTGGGAAGTGACCCCAGCAGCAGCAGTGCCGCGAAGGCCCTTTGCCCGTTGGCCAGAGCACGCTTCACGCACAAAGTGCCCTTTAACAGAGGTTAATAGATTCACTTGCTTCTTTTGCTTCTGTGACATCATTCAAATTTTAATTTAATGTAATAACACAGTTTTGAAGAGCAGCCTAGTCCCTTCTGACACACTATTCTGTATGCCCTAAAATATATCACATTCATTCCATCAGGCATGATAAAGACTTGATAACAAACATTATTGTGGTTAAAAACAAAAAATTCTACCATACAAGAAATTTGTAGAAAGGTTAAATAATAATGAAACTTTCCTCAATTTGAAACTAGAACAGATAAAGCCACCGACTTCAGCCTGGAAGACAGGCCAAAAGGTGAACACTTTAAGAGAAAGTCAGAGCTACATCGGTAAAGAAACTGTCCAAGGAACACAGGACAGCTGGCCCCGAGCAGCGTGCGGCCCTGCGGCGCTCACGCCCGGGCTGTGCGGGACGCTGATTCCAGTCGGGGCAGGGAATCCTCGTCAGCGGAGGATTAGGTTACACGTGGATTTTCGGCTTGGGGTTGGCAGCCCTCATCCCCATGTTGGTCAAGGGCCAACTATATATACAATTACATAGACAGAGTTCAATTACATGTTCCCAATATGAAAAAAAAATAGATGACTGATCAGACTGTAATTGTGAAAACTTTAAATAAAGTGTCCTGATACACTGAGTACACGACTGTGCTGTTGCACAAAGCCCAAGTAATGCACAGTTTTGAACCCTGAGAGGTCCTAACTGAAATGAGGTGTGTGACTTCATGAAGTAAAGGACACACCGTCCAGCCGCTGAGCTGAGACCAGAATGGAAGCCAAGTGAAACCCCGAGGTGGCAGCTAAGGGCCGAGCTGCACGCTGCTCCCTGCATATCCACGGGAAGGGACGGGGACACACTAATGACCTGGACGGTGAGCATTATCATCATCGTGGGAGGGGGCACTGCATCTGGAAGCAGTCGTCTTTCTGTCAACAAAATTGGCCTTCAACACAATGAAAGAAAGCAAGAATGGCCATCTACTGAACAAGTGGTGGGCACTCAAAAAATTATCAAAACAGCCTGGCTGGCGTGGCTCAGTGGCTGAGCATCAACCTGAGACAGGTGGTCATGGTTCGATTCCCGGTCAGGACACATGCCCAGGCTGTGTGCTCATTCCCAGTAGGGGGTGTGCAGGAGGCAGCCGATCAAGATTCTCTCTCATCATTGATGTTTCTATCTCTCTCCACCTCTCCTTTCCTCTCTAAGATCAATAAAAATATATTTTAAGAAATATATCAAAGCAATAGGACATTTATAATGAACAGTAGGGTCAAACTATGGTGGTGGGAGATCAGAGCAGGCCTCCCACAACTGAAAATGTATATGGTTTTTCTTCTCCAAGTTATAGTCATTACCCATAAAAACTGTACTTTATGGTTTTTTCTAAGAGCAAAACAATTCTGATGCTAACAAGGTGCACTGTTCTGGGCTGCAGAAGCCACGTGTGCGGCAGGAGACCGCCAGGGGCAGTGCGTCCCCACACCCATGTCAGATAAAGGGCCATCTTGATGATAAAAAGGAGTTTAACACGGGCACTCAGTACTGTCCTCCCACCACTGGGCCGCCCGCCATCTGGCCAGGCAGCTGCAGGATGAATCTGGGTTTGTCATCAAAGCTGCTTCATTTTACTCCCACACCAAGTAGAGAATGAAATGTTACTACTCAGTGATTTCCTACAGAACATCTTCTTCCCTAACTACTAGGGAGTTGATGAATCTCCTCTGTATTGAAGATTTATTCATAAAACATGTCAGAATAAAGGGCCATCTTGATGATAAAAAGGAGTTTAACACACTGTTGCACCACCCACTCCACGCTGCTCTGGGCTGGGGTGAAGAGAAGACACAGCAACAGGAACGGGTGACAGTGTGGACACCAGCACACACATGAGTTCCCACAGTGCTACTTACCGGAAGGTTCCTCGCTGAATCCAAATACACGATCAGCAAGGAAGAAGAAAGGCCATCGTTGGCTTGGTCTTTGTCAGCCCTGATGTCTGTCAGCACCTACCAGGAAGGAGAAGAGTCTCAGCAAGCACATTTCCACATCGTTTTAGACCCTTGCTACCCAATTATGCCTGTAACGCTCCAGCAAACGGGAGAGAGGGAGCAGAGAACCCCAATATGTGCAAGCAGAGTGGAAGTAGGAAAGATTCTCTACAAATCAAAGGAAGGACCCGTGCTCTGTGGCCCTCCAAACCCCGGCTCTGCATCAAGTACAAGATTTGAAGATCCTGTAAAACAGGTGTAAATGGCCTTCAAATCTCTTAAAAAATGCCATCATCTTTAATTTATCCCTGAGGCCACCGCAGTGACTGTAGCACAACCACCCAAGCTGCTGCTGTAGTCCTCTGAAAGGCATGGGTCTCAGCCGGCAGGAACGCGTCACACACCTGGTCCAGGTGAGCAGCGTGTGGCGTCAGTGTGAGCCACTCCAGTTTCAGGTGCAGCTTTCCTCTGGGGACCTCGTCCAGGGTGAACCACTGAAGACAAACGGTGCAGGGTTAGCAGTTCTCCTGAATCGACATTCGAGTAAACAGTCTGCATAATGTCCCAAGAGGCTACTGCCTGCGGCACCAACACTGCTCGAGGGAGCCCAGGACGGAACCCTCCACACCCAGCCCCAAGCTCTCTCGACAGGCATGTGGCCCACACCCGTGGACCACACCCACCCCTGCCTGCTGCCTGGGACCATCTCAAGGCTTCACAAACACTAACTCCTTGAGACCACCAAAGCCCTGTGAGGTAACTTTCACCCTAATTTATATGCAAGGATTCAAATGTCTATCAGCTCCATCAGCTTCTAGGTACCGATTTTAAGAGAACTTATGGGCCTAATATAACATCAAACCCAAATGCTGAATTTCAATATCAAACAAGTTAACATGTTTGTTTTTATTCATTACTATATACTAATAGCAAAATAGTACACAGTTATTTCAGCTTAAAAATCACAAAGCAATGAACCAAAGGCGGCTGAAACCCTGTGCTCGAAGAGCCGCTGCGACCCAGGCCCTGCACACACAGGCGGCTCGTGCTCCCTGGTGAGCGATGGCCACGAGCGCTCGGCCACTCTGACCGCAGCGCTGACTTGGTGAATGACCTTTCCTTGACCAATCTCACACACCGTTTACAAGCACCACAAATCCTCCTTCCTCATACTTTTATTCCAATAGCAGTATCCTGCTTGAGGGGCATCTGCTCGCTGCAAGTCCCCTGCCTTCACAGGCGCCTTCACATGAGGACCTCCCATCACAGTACAGCGCCACCTGCTGTGGCGCCAGCATCTTTAAAATGCGCTTGACCTGACAGCTGCCGGCCTGCCCTGCCCAGGAAGAGCACCGCCTGCCTGAAGGAAATGTCCAGCATATGTGGTAGGTGCTCAGTACACACGCTAAGATTTGGTTCTTAAACTCCTTTTCTATTACTTTGCTATTACGAACAAGCTTAAGTTCTCATATTTGAGAGGCAAATGTTGAGTTTTCAGGATGGGGTGGGGGCAGGAAATAGCCAGTGCTCAGTAAGTAGAACAAGACTTGCAGAAAACTTACTTCATCTAGAAGGCGCTCCTTTTCCACTTCGGTCAGATCAATCATGAGACTAGAGAAACAACACACACAACTTCAGAGCAGAGAAGCACACTTCTTCAACCAATGACCTTAGGCATTTGTCTATGAAAAAGGACTTCAGAAACGCAACAAAATGCTACAGTTTATCAAGAAGCAGACTGTTGGCTATCCTGCACCCATTAAGTATGTGTCTATCATTTTATTTATCCAATCCCAGAGGTCTCCCCTGCCCCCCCCCACTTTGTTTTCTCCTGCCTCTCTAGTCTACCACCAATGGATTTCATGTAAACCACCTAAATCCCCTCCTTTGATTGCAATGTATAAAAATAGATGAAAACCGGCCATTCTCCAAAGCATTATCTCAATCTGTTGAGATACTGCTTCCCAGCAATTGTTTGGCTCAAATAAACTCACAAAAATTCTTTACAGATTTGAATGTTTTTACGTTAACAATAATGTTTGAAAACCCATTCCTACAAGCCACAGCAAGGCTGCCTGTCTGGTGCAGAGAGCTGTCCTGGCCTGCAGGGCCAAAGCCACACGGGGCTACTGAGCACTGAAAATGGGGCAAGTGCAACCACAAAAGTGATTTTGAATTGTGTTTAACTTCAGTCAGTTTAACTGAACTGGCTGTCTATGCTGGTGGCTGCTGACGGACACAGAGCTAGAAGCTTGCCTTCTCTTACTCACACAAGAACTTGTTAGGCCCTAAACGTGTTAGGAAGCCTAAGTGAGGCAAATGTTATATCTAACAGCCACTTAAAAACCCACACAACATGTACACAAATCTGTTAGTGAAGGTAGTTTTAAGAGATTTTTAAAAACAAAGCATGACCAGCACTCTGCTCAGTCGTGAAGGACTTACCTTCCTAGAAAGTCATCCTTGTCTGGGTCTTCATCAAAGAGCTCAATCTCCAGTTCCTGCCCAGGATGCTCATAGACCAAGGCCTGGAAGGTTAGTGACGGCAGTGACTTACATTTTACCAACAGTGTCACCCACTGAGCACGGCGGTTATAGCGACAGCACCCGTGTCTGCCCCAGTGTAGGTCCTCAGGAAGCACTCCCCTTTTCTCAATGTAAACAGAGTACATCCCCACATGGAGACGTGCGCCCACATAGTGCCAGCCCGTTGTGCTTGTTTCAGGTGGGGTACGTCTCAGGGGGCCGAGGTCAATGGCTCCAGCACAGGACAGGCCTGCAGATGTGCAGGTCCCACCCAGACGCTGTCCTCGGGTAACCAACCACCACAAGCACCACTCGGAGGTAAGGAATTCGGCGACAGGCAGGACTGGGGCTGAGAAGCTGGTGGAGCGTGACCTGCACTAAACCTGGGGGTCACTCTGCTCCCAGCACGTGTAGCTTGTGGGGCAACAGTTCTACGCTGAGGAGCTCTGCCTGGGGAAAGGTGGCTGACACGTGCACAGCACCAGTTAGGTACCTACTGAACTAGCAGCTGAGCTTTCTCCAGGAAAAGAAATGGCAGCATCTACTCAGTGAATGGCTATCGTAAGTCAGGTCCGTTTCTATCCTATATAATAGAAGTGTAGTATGCAAATTGTCCCCTTGACCAGGAGACAATTCGTCTGGGAGTTCGACCAGGGGGTAGGGCTGGCCGGGGGAAAGGAGGGAGAACCCAGCTGGCAGCCACTAGGGACCCTACCAGTGCACGAGTTTTGTGCACTGGGCCTTTAGTATACTAATATATATACATCCTATGTAATAAAGAGGTAATATGCAAATGGTTGTTACACTGTGATGCTTAATGACTGATCAGCAGGAGGGTGGGGCAGCGAGCTACAAGCGGCCGAGAGCTACAGGGGGGTGGGGCAGTAGGCGGAGAGC